ACAGACAGACAGACAGACAGACAGACAGACAGACAGACAGACAGACAGACAGACAGACAGACAGACAGACAGACAGACAGACAGCAAAAACAACCACAACCACAACCAACAGCCAACAAACACCAAACACCAAGCAACAATAAAACAACACAAACAATAACAAGCAACAAACAACAAACAACCAACAACAACAACAATAACAGCAACACAAACAACACCAACAACACCACCACCAACAACAACAACAACAACACCAACAACAACAGCAACAGCAACAACAACACCAACACCAACAGCAACACCAACACCAACAGCAACAACAACAGCCAGAGCCACAACCACAGCCACAACCACAACCACAACCAACAAACACAAAAGGAACAAACACCAAGCAAACAAACAACAAACAATAACAAACAAACAAACAAACAAGCAAGCAAACAAACAAACAAACAAAAAAACAAACAAACAAACAAACAGACAAACAAACAAACAAAGAAACAAAGAAGCAAACAAACAAACAAACAAACACATGATCAAATACAAAAGCAACCAATCAAACAAACAAACAATCAACAAAAGACTGGAACCTCTTCGTGTCGCACTCGCACGTCACACGACACACGCGACACGCTCTCAGGCGGAGGTGCGGAGTTCATTCCGGCACTCTTCGAGGGACAGAGCTCCACGATTGTGCAATGCAGTCAGGAGACGAAGATGAAGAGGAAAACAAAGTGCAGAGAGATCTTGAATCGAGTTAGAGATCGGCATGGGTATGTGTGTGGTTTCAATGAGCTTGCGAAGACCTTTGCGGGCTTGAGAGAACTTTGCTGCTTGAATGTTATATTTAGTAATATCATCATAACTCATTTCATTTGTCAGCCTGACATCAAGAGCCTCTCATACCTCTTTGATTTTCTTTGCCTTTCAATGCCCTCCAGACATTTGAAGCTGTATCGGTTTTCTTAACATATTACTGTTATATAAACCCTGGAGGTGTGCTCTGACTTTGGCCCACTGTTCGACGAATCTCTTCGATCCACATCGATCGACTCAACCGCCACTCAACCGGCCACCGCCGAAGAAAAAGGACGCCCAGATGGGATGCATCCGGGACCCTCCGAAACGTCGAACTCAGTGGACATGAGCTCTAGTGGTTTTGGCATTTCGAAGGAGGAACCATTTCTTTTTTCGCAGATCTCGATCAATCTGGATCCTTTGATTCCCAAAGGATCCCAGCCACTTCTCGGAGAAGCCGGAATCCTTCATGGAACTTCGAGCTGGTCTCTCTCCAGTGCTGGTCTCAGAAACAGCTGATCTGGGAGTGAGGTGATTCGGGTGATTGTTCGATCCAGCAAAAATGGAGGCAATCCTTTCAGTTTTTTGGAACAGGGATTGAGGGGACGTCAAACAACAACTTAAACATTTGTTCCACTTCGTACTTCAAGCGCATGGCGGGGCAAGGCGATTTTGGTGCGGAAAGTATATCATAGTATATCAACGTAGGTCAACATAGGGTGTCCAGGATGTGTGTTTTTTCCCACCAGCTCACCAACTTCACGTGGAGTCTGGGGCAGAGTTCCTGGCCATGCCATCCCGCATCACCAAGCATGAGGAGTTGAAAGCTGCACATCACCACATGGGTAGGACGAATCATGACCTTGCTTCATTTTGCTTCCAAACTGCACTGTGGGTTGTTTAGTAGCAGCTTTTATCTATATATATATTCAAATATGTTCAGCATCAGTATTGTGGCGTGTCCCTTTGAATAGGTTCAGTTGAACAGCTCAAGCCCTCCCCCGATCTCAGGTGGCTGTGGCATTGGAAGCCAAAGAGGCGCTCTCCACAAAGCGCGTTAGGGAGGACCACCAGTGATGATCCCCGTGTGCCAACGCTGGTTCTTGGCAGTGCGGCGGTGTGGAGTTCCACTGGTCAGGACAAATAACTACTAGTAAGGCACTTGTTCCTAGTAGCTTATTGTTTTTAATAGCTTCTTGTTACTACTAGTAAGGCACCTGTTACTACTAGTAAGGCACCTGTTACTACTAGGTCATAAGCTGGATGGGCTTGGCCGGTTTTCCTGCCGTGAAATTCTGTGACATGGGAGACCTATAAGCCTGTATTGCTGGATGTTTGTGCTTGATACATTTTCTTTGGGAGAAACTCGGATTTATCCTCCAAACTACTGCTGTGCTATGAATTGCACTGGGTTCGCAAAAATCCAGCCTCACCGATTCGGAGCATCACACCCCAGGCCACAGGGCGAAAATCCGGGCCAAAGACAAAGCCTGGTGCCAAAAAGGCAGGATGATCCAGAGACTTGAGACCATGGCTTTCTTTGGATGCCTGTGGGTATCGTATTTTCAGTGAAGAGGATTGTCGTGTTTCAGTTGGCCACCGCTATTTTTCCAATGGCAAGGGATTGTTTGATGTCAACATGGCCGCACAACTGCTCGTTCCAGTCGAACAAGAAGCTGCCGACGATCCGACTTGAGCAAATTCTGGAGGCACACCACGTGAGTTGTGTTCAAAAACGGGGATTAGCTGCACTGCAGCTCCTAATACTTTGCTACAACCTTTTGGATCACGACGATCTTTCATGACAATTGACACTTACTTGCAGGGTTGAACATCCAGGTTCCACCTATAGGCTTTAGATATAGGTTCCACAAACAGTCCGTATTGGAGAACCGTGGGGTTTTAGATGACATTGCAGATTACAACTTCCCTATGACAGATGTCACTCGTCACAGCCTCAGCGGGTGTGTGTGAATTTACTCAGTCTCGGCAGGAGACCGCTTTTCCGGAAGAGGCGCCTGTGCTGCCAAATTGTCGCGAGAGACATCAAGAGACTGGGTTTTAAAGGGCAGAACACAACATTTTGGCCATTTTGTTGAGGGATGAACATCTTTATGCATGTGTGCAACTCTTCTCCTCATCCTTTTCAAGAGGTCCTTTTCTTTGGACATAGGGCCGTCCAAAAGCCACGTGACAACCACCCTTGGCACGTTTGTTTGGCATCCTGCAATGAAAGGACCAGGGATCCCGATCTTTGCATCACGCCCAAGCTCATGTTCAGTGGTATTCCGCTAGCTTTGGGTACTTCTTGCCATTCTTCCATCAACTAGGAGGGCAAAAACTCTCATGAAATATATCCAAAGCTCGAACTCAGACACTGGGCATTTGACTTTGACGCACTTTTAACTGTTTTGACTCCTTGTGATCGGATTCTGCTATGGATCTCGTCTCAACTCATCCGTCCCCCAAAAGACCCGAAACCCTGCACAAGACAACTGCGATTCTGAGACGACTGCGACAGGTCCTGGACGGCTCCAACCAGTGGCTTTGCCCGCGCTGTGACCGAAAGGTGCCGCTTCACGTGGCCGAACGGGTGAGCCCAGTTGTGCTTCACATAGCTACCAATGGACATGGAAAGTCATGGAAAGTCATGGAGTAAGTCAAACGCAATGAGAAACACCTACCAACATCTACCAGATTATTTCTAAATATGTTAGATCATATAACATCAAACTGTTTGTTAATCCTGTGTCCAATCTCTCACCCTTGTTTTGATCCCCGCTGTTTTCAGCCGTAACCTGTGTTGATGCAGGTGGATGCGAAAAGAACCACGAGGTTGTCAAAGCTGCCGCCATACTTGCACGTCACGGTGGAGAGGTGCTACCCGAAAACTGCTTCTGATCGAGTCCACGCGTGAAGGATTGGTCAGCAGAATTCTAAATGGTACATACAATGTACTTACACTAGGAACAAGGCAAACATGTAAACCAGAAAGGCCCCAGCTATGAGGCATTGTGCCCATGAACATTGAGCTTACAAGGGTTTTACAAGCTATTGTCAATGGTTCACGTGGTTCACCGAGTTTCGGCACTTACTTCAACCCGAATATCATGGACACATCGACACATCGATGGCAGACTTATATACACATCTGTTTGGGGTCCCAAAGGGATTGAACTTGCCCACGCCACACGTGGCACACGGGGAGGTACCACTTCGAGGCTGAAACAGCGCAAAGGAAACGCCTCGCCCACCCAGTGTCCTTCCCGCCCGGGGGCCTTAGAGGGATCGACCGGACCTGGGAGCGCTGAACGCCGGACCAGCCGATGTTGGGCAAACCGTTTAGCGTGGGGTAGAAAGATGTAGAAAGTAGCCCAAGAAGTAACCCTGAGGTACCTTGACCCTGAGTTATGATTTGGAGAAAACCACATGAATTGTATTGAATTGTCACATGTATTGAGTTCTGTCCATTAGGTCTCATGGGATACTGAGCGGGTATTGGAGTGTATTATCGTATGTCAACATTTACTATCCAATTTGATTATTATACCCAGATTGGAACCCCAACCTGAGATCTTTTGCAATCCATTAAGAACTGATGACTGATCTATGACCTTATGTTCCGTTTTCCGACTCAATATCTCTCTAGTCTCTCTATAACAATAATCATAATAAACATATATAGTAGTAATGATAGTAATAGTAATAGCAACAAACTTAGAAATATATACCCTCCAACAAGTCATTTAGATGAGGCTTGTTGGGACCTAACAGGTCACAATTGGTGACCTGTTTGAGGGTTCTGGTATACTATACTATATATATATAACTATATTATCTTCTTGTTACTAGTAGTAACGGCCTCCAACCGACTAGCGATGGCCTCCACCTAGTAGCTTCTAGCTACCAGCAGCTTCTTGTTCCAATATGGGTAGAACAATTCCAAATCAACTTCGCGTGTTTGGCACAGCAGGCCCCGGGCAACCCGGTGACCCACCTAACGAGACCGCAGGCGCCGCTTGGAGCTGCGGCTGGGCGGCGCGCTGGCCTCGCAGCGACCGGAGGCGGCCAAGCGCGGAGCACGCGGAGCCGGGGACGCGGCTGACAAGTCGGCTGGGGAACTGCATGGAGCCAACAAAAACAAGCAGCCCCTAGTAGCTTCTTGTTACTACTAGCAAGAATGCTCCTAGTAGTACGGCCAGGAGCCCCTAGTAGCGTCCTTGCTCCTAGTAGAGATGCGAGAAGCCCCTAGTAGCGTTCTTAAACAAGCAGGATGTAAACAGATGGTGGAAGCTGCCAAATAATGATTTTCATACAAATGACTTGTTTTCTTTTGAGCACATGTGAGATCCGTTGGGAAGGATGATTTGGTTGAGTGATTTTCCTCGTCACGACCCTCGCGTTGGATGCTTCCCTTGCCGCCCGTCAGTGAAACTGCCAGGCGACGAGCAGTGAAACTGCCAGGGCCTCAGAAATGTGGCGAAGGCAAACTCCCAACTTTTCTTGTGTTGAATGGTTTTTTGTGGACTGAACCCCCAGCCCATGCCATGCCATCCACCATGCTGCCGCTCAGCCGCAGGTGTGTTTTCATGTTCCGAATGAAAAACAATCCAATCACAGAGGTGAGGCCCCTCAACTCGGTCAGGCGCTTGCTCCCGGCCAGCTGGGCGAAGAACCGACCAGCTTTTTCGCCCGACCGCGAAGCTGGGCCAAAACTGGCGAAGACTGGTGACTCGTCTTCTGAGGCGATGCTTCCTGTGGCCTATGAGTGCATTGGTTACTTGGAGCACGTCTCGGACTCTGCGCACAGTGGTCGGGAGCCTCACGTTAGTATCAGAGGCCGGTGAGAGGTGTGGAAGTCTGGTGTGAAAGTGATCAATTCCATGGCATGAAATGAACCACCTTAATGTGACAGAAATGAACACTTTCTAGAAGCTATCTTGCACATTTGCACCTGGAGTCTTAATCCAGTTGTCATTTGTGCAGCTGGACTGAAAATGACTGCTAAGGCTCTTGCGGATGAACTGGTCATCCAGGAAAATTTGGACAGTCGGACATCCCCACGATGAAAACTAAACAGAATGTTCAATCATTGAGATGTCCACATTTTCTTGAGTGGAAAGGTCATGAAAGGTCTGACTTCTTCCTGAGAACACCTGCGGGTTTTCTGGCTCCAAAGAACCTTGGACCAACGACACGATCCTGCGAGGCCACTACCGCGCGACACTGCTGCGCGAGGAGGAGGCGCCACAGTTGGGACGGAACAGTTTTCAAGTTTCAGTCGTAGTCTACCTGCTCTTGTTTTATGCATGTCCTTGTTGTTGCTTCTAAAGCATTGTTCTTGGGTTTTAAACCCACGCTTATGTTGATTGCTTATGGACTGAATCTTGCTTCAACTTGCTTGAAGGAGCCCTATGTGTCAGCAGTGGCAGGCCTGGTAGGCCTTGTGCATTGATGTGCTCTTGTTTGGCCGCAGGATGATAGGATATTTGAATCTGTGAGATCTCGAGTTGGTGGCATTGACTCATTGACACTACAAAGTTCTTTTCACACACTGGTGAAGTACACAAGTTGTAATGCAACATATTCTACACAATATATACGTACATGCATATCTACAAAAAATAGGTTCAAGAACTATGGTTAGGTCCGTAGTCCTCTTCTATCCCAGATACCTTGTTGGTCCCCCCAAAAGGGCGGCCCGGTTTATTAGTCCCGACCAACTCGCTTGTCGCTCAGGGGACGAAGTCAAGGAGCCTGCGCTGAAGCGGCCCAAAGTGGATGACCCCGATGTGGCTGCCTGAGAGTGGTCCATAGTGGTCCCATGTTCCATATTTTAGATGTATTATTTAGTATGCTTTTGGCGGATCAATTTGCGGCCTGTCTACGCCAACAGATCACAAGACCAGGCCAGCTGCCTCTCCAAGTTGATTTTGTGATTGAATGAGATGCGTTTTCAATTTTGCATGGCTGGATCGAATACCTCAGTCGTGAGGTTTGGCAAGCATAGTTATCCTTACAGACTCAAAATCGTTGGACGCTGTTTGTTTTCTTTCGCCGAGGCGGCAGCCGGAGCACCACAGAAACGCAGCTGGTGGGGGGTGGAAGGGTTAGCAGTCAATGGAGGGGGTTACCATCCCTCCACTGACCAACTTGCAAATGCTTGTCGCGACGTGGTAAGTGCCAGGTGGCGCCTTGATGATGAGTCGGTGACACCAGTTGAAAGCGTGGAGAGTGAAGCTAGTGGAGCTGGTGCTCCCAAAGCTGCAGAAGGCACGGAGCGTTGAATTGTTGAAAACCTGGAGAGGTGTTCAATCTAATTACTGTATTGGCTGTGGCATGAGCTGGATTGAGTTGGTACCAAGCAAGGTCTTCAGATGTTTGTTGTGGGGGGCAGGCAGGGGATCCTGAAATCCTGACCTTGCGTGAGGAACGAGCAGCTCAAGTGCTGCTCCGCCTCAAGTTGGGTCGCCCGAAAGCTTTCAGAAGGGCCTTTGACCAATTTGAGGCTTCAATTTGTCCAAGCGTCCAACGTTATCCAAGCGTCCAATTGTTCGATGTGTCCTTTTGTTCGTCCAGATTTCCACCGAATCCATGCGGAGAAGACTAGGAGCAAGGACGCTACTAGGGGCTTCGGTGCGGAGAAGACTCTGTATACAGAATACGTTTTCAAAGAGTGAAGGTGAGACCATGGTGTGAGAGACACACGTGTGAGACCACGATGCAAAGGACCTGATGTCGTCCATGTCGTGTCCTGAGGCTTCAGATCCTGAAAGAATTGAGTCTGCCACCGTACTTGGGCTGCATGAGATGGTATGCTGTGGTATTTCATTGTATTTCGGTCTTCCCGAAAAGCACACACAAACGCAGCGCACCGGCATGTTTTCACCAAAAGCAGGGGCCTTTGTTGGGTAATGACCCACACCCACATTCATTCACATATAGATTCCATAGTAGTCTCATCTCTTCACTTTCAGATTGGCCCAACTTTAGATCACCAAACTGGTCGTTTTTCCGTTCGCCCACACGACCTCAAGCGTTCGCCCATACCGGAGTCACGACACGATCCCTAGGCATACTTGGTGCTCTACCGGCGGTGCGATCATGACCCAGGCGCCGTCCGGACTTGATGCCATTTGGGGAAGCCAGGACAGATGATGTTTGTGGACAGACCAGCAACCAATAGTTGCCAAATGGTTGTTTTTTGTGTTTTTTTTCCCTTGGCTTAGACCAGTGAACGTGGACAGCAGACGAAGTGTGGAGAAGCTGAGATAGAACGAGCAGCCAAGACTCATTGAATGTAGTTTTAGTCAAGTCCTTGAAGCCTTTTGGGAAATCGCCATCAATCAATGGATCTCAGTAAATTCGTCCATGTTCCGTTAGTGGATCGACTCATTAGATTTGTTTTCATATCACACTCTCACAGGTCCAATAGGTCCAACCAAACTGGAACATGCGATTCAAAGCAGAGAGCATTGCCATCACTTCCTCCTTTCACCCATCACTTCTTCCGCGTACCTTCGACCGTGCACCGTTGGACCGCCTTTCGTCTTGGTCAGCTGTGCCTGCCACCGAATAGCTATTAGTATAGCGTCCGATCGCTCCGTTCGTAACGATGCCAGGAGCCCCGTTCGTAGCTTCTTGCTCCTAGTAGCTTCTTGTTACTACTAGTAAGGCACTTGTTACTAGAAGCGATGCACTTGTTCCTAGTAGCTTCTTGCTCCTGGTAGTATGGCCAGGAGCCCCTAATAGCTTCTTGTTACCAATAGCAATGGCCTCCACCCTTAGTAGCGATGGAGGTCAGCTGCCGAGGTCAGCTGTGCCAGGGTCGCCGAGTCTCGGGCGTCCCTCGCACAGCGCCGCCCTTGTCCAGCGAACTCCAGCGGTGTGTGGCGCGGAGCTCCAGAGAGTGGCACGGCTTTCGGGCTTTCGGGGGTGTGGGGCTTCAAATATGTTATGTTTTCATATGTTTTTCTTTTGGTTAACCTTTACTTGAGAGTGAAACCACATGAAACCACTGACTACTGCAATATGTTTCGTGAGTTGAAACCAGCCCGCACTTTTCTTGATGCTCCGTGTTGGGTGGGGAAACCACTGACCAATCGCCTTCGTGCCAATGCTGGGAATGCAAACTGCTTGGACCGAACTTTGGGCTTTTCTTGGTTACTAGTAGCGATGCACTTGTTACTAGTAGCGATGCACTTGTTTCTAATAGCTTCTTGTTACTACTAGTAAGGCACTTGTTACTAGTAATAAAGACGTCTATAAAGGAACTATATGGCTCATTCCGGTACGGACCAGACAGACAAAGTATACGGGCTTGCAATTGGGTCTCCAAGTTTGGCACCATTCAAAAGACTTCCCAATCAAGAACCAGGGAGGGATCCTTCGCTGGATGTGCGGAATTTTCCACGTTTTCAGTCCTGTGGTGTGGGAACTTTGGTGGTGAATCGGTCAGTCTGATTCCATATGAAGGGATTCAGATCCAACCAGCCTCTTAGAATGTCAGGCATTCTTGTTGACACTCTTCTGAAAACTCTCAGTTGGACCGCAGAGAGTGATGAGTCTAGAGTCTATTTGGCGATTTCGGACCATTGTAACAGAATAATTAGACTGTAATGGACTTAGTACTAGAAGTATTGGATCTTTAAACTTGTAGCATTGTAGTGCCTCATTGGAATTCTTGGCCTTTCTACCATGTTCTATGCTGCTTCATGTTCCTGGTGCTCCTCCAGGACGAGCACAACACGGAATTGCGACGGCAGCGCAAAGAGTTTGAGTCGAATTCCCTGGCCACTTGGCATCGGTGCATTTCAGCGGCCCATCGATGACCCATTCGTGTAAGGGATGAACACGTATTGCTTTAGGTTTTCATGCTTTCACAATTGAGTGAAACGGTGGTGTCCCCAAAAGGATCTCCAAGATCACCAGACAAAAACACCAAGAAGCCAGCTGTTTTTCCTCCAGAAGGCCAACAGGCCAGGAAAGGACTTCACAAGATGAGAGACAGACCACAGTAACGGAGCTGTAGAGGAAAAGACCAGACCAACACCGTTTGGGAATGACTGGTGTTTTGGGGTTACACGTACACTGTTCATGTTACATTACGTTTGGCAAATTCCCTTGTTTAGGCCAACGGCGTTGTTTGCGACCCCAGAGAAAATAGCACTATTTTCGAGATCGATTTTCGATGCGGCGAGATCGGCGATCGTTGGGGCGGTGGGTGGGTGGGTGGGTGGGTGGGTGGGGGGGCTACTGGCGTGGGGTTTTGGGGCGCGCGCGCGCGTCTGGTGAAAAGTCTTGGTTCAATGTGGCCAAAAATTTGGGTATTGCACACGCTAGTGTGGTCCACAAGGACATGCAGTTTGTAAAGAAGATTTCTCGGCCCAAAAAAGTTCAAGCCAAACGCAGTGGCACTCAAATGCTCGATGGGCAATAGAAGCTTCTAAAGAAGTACATTATCCTGTCGACGCCTTCATACAAAGAAAGCTCATGCCTGCCGCGAAGATCGGGTGATGAGCTATGTGATGTCTTGGATGTGGCGTGCCAACCAGAAAGATGATCTCTGGACTGCCGCCGGAGCTCTGTGTTGCAAAGCGATGGAGAGAAAAACGCCCTACACGGAAACGACCAAAATTGAAACCACAGGGTGACTGGGGAGAGCGAAAGAACGCTTCAGAGTCCTGTAAAACCCAGTACTTTTGCAATCTCTGTTAAAGCCAACTCAAAATAGTTAAACAGGTTGGGTTTTGAACAGTTTTTAAAGGCATGCTTTGAACATCTCAAATAGCCCAGGGTCACTAACCCCGCCGTAGCCTTGTTTAGTGTGTTTGGTCTTATGGAACTTCTGCGATTTTCCAACAACTCAGCTCAGGCGGTCGAGCGCTTTGTGGGGGAACGGCGCCGAGCCGTGATGTGCAGTGGACCTCAGGAGTCGGAAGGATGTGGCTGAGTAGAATCTGAAGTCACCAACCAGTTCAGTTCAACTTCAGTTTCCATGATCTGCAGATATCAAAAATCTCGAGTGCTTACTGTATATCTGTATGAAGTTCTTGATGGGCTAGCAGCTTTTGAGAAATCTTGTGAAGTTTCAGGACGGCTGCGGAGTTTGGTCATGGCACGTCGACTGGGCGAGTCTGTTGGGTTAATTGTTACAGCATATGATAATATGTCATGCATATATGGCTATGAAGTCATGCCATATTTTTGTGGGTGTGAACATTGAGGAGGTACGAATTTTTAAAGATTCTTCGCCCCGACCCACACCCCAAATACCATGGGAATGGGTTTGAACCATGAAAGCCAGACCTGGACCATCGCCCAGGTTTGGCCGAGGCCTTGCGAGCCTTGCATCCGTCGCAAGGCGCCGGGGTGCAGGGCTGGTCCACCGGTGGTTCACTGGTTGCGTTTGTTCGCCGAACCATGCGGAGCGGCAATTCATGGGGACTCGACAGCAAGGGTTCCCGATTTGGCTCGGCGAAACACTTCGAATTAACTCCAAGGTCAAACGAGGATGCTTGGACTTTGCAAAGCAGGAAAAGCAAGATCAACGAGTAGTAAATGAACTGTAGATAGTAATTAGATGTAAGTAACAAACATAGGCAAACATTCTGTATAAAGATGCCAAATTACTCTTTTGGTACCCCAAATCCAACAGAATCCAACCAACTCATCAAATAGAGTACTCAAGTCACAACGTTCCCCGGTGCCTCGTCCCAGGTAGCTCATCTGATCTGAACCTCGTACCGAGCCCATGGCTGGAAAGGTGGGGCAGAACCTGATGGAGGGTGGCCATGATCCAGGCTAGGTGAAGGGTGATCACCAGTCTCGGTGATCAGTCTGTGGGCCATACAGCCAGGGCCATGATAGTTTTTGATTCACCAGCCAGAGCCCAGGGGTTTCAACAGAGCCCAGGCTGAGCCTCTTGCCAATTCCTGACAGATTTCCTCACGATGCAGTGCACTGGTAGTGCAAAGGGGTGTTTCTACCAGGTTCTTGCCACACTCAATTCAATGGATGGCCGGGCGTCTCATGTTGTTTTTGGCCGTAGGTGTTTGACCCACTCAAGATACAGCCGAGGACTGACGGACCATGGGCTTGACACAGCAGACAGGACAAGACCTCCGAAGAAGAACAAACATAAAACCCGAAAATGATCGAACGAGATGAAACAGTCCTCTTTCAAAGACGTCTTGGACATGGCGGCTTGATGCGGCTTGATGCGGCTCGCGGTTGGATTCCGAAAACCGCCAGGTTCCTGCGAGGCGAAGATCGGACTCTGCAGAACATCTTGGAGGGCGATGCCTCCGTCGCTCGGAGGGCGGAACGACGGGATCCTGACGGGTGACGGGGACACGAACGTGAAGAGACCAGGTGCTTCTTGCCTGACAGCATCATTCCCACAATCTGATTTTCGAAAACCCCGGTGTCTTTATCTCCTTCTCGAATGGGCAAAGTGTTCAATGTCCTTGAAGATATGTTTGACAAAACTAGGGCACTCGCCAGTCCATTTTCCTTTTGGATGTGGATCTCAGAAAAATCATGACAAAGCCTTTCTTCCTACACCACTTGTCACCCTCAGCGTACAAAATTGTTTTTGGCATATTCTCCGTGACTTCGGCAGGAGAGTTCTCTAAAATTATGTTTCCGTTGTGGCTTGTGGTGAGTCAAGAAAGGATAAACCTTTAGAATCTATAGTCTATAGTTGCCTCGAAAAGCAAAAACGACATGAAGAATAGTTACCTTGAAGACTACCCTGCCAACTATAACTCCACTCTTTGCGGAACAAAAAACACAAGAGGTTCCCGTCTTTGTGGGGCCATCGGTTCGCAGCCCAGATTCAGCCACCCATCTACTCTTCGTCCTTGATCCAGGGAAGGACCTCCGAAGCCGAAGCTGAGTTGATCTCAATCGCGCGTCACGCAGTGCTCTGGCCGCGTAAGCTCCGTCTGTATGGCAAGAAAAAGGGACATGAAACCTCAGGGTGAACATCCAGAATAAACTGATGGACCTCATGGGCATCCTCTAAATTCATTTAAGTTGATGCCATTTTCAACATGTGATATACATCACCAATAGGGTGTCTGGAGCCCGATTTCTTCTCAGAACGAATTTGCCAGGACGGGCCATGCCCTCGATCCCTTGGCCGTTTGGTGTGGCGAGGTGCGGCTCCGACGGCTCCGACGGCTCCGTGGCGCTCGGTTGCTCCTGCTGCGTGGCTGGTTTCCCATACCAAATGCAAGTAACAAAAGGCGGCACAAAAGACAAGAAAAAAGGGAAGACTTGTTGCTAGTAGTAGTAAGGCCCTTGGTACTAGTAGCTTCTTGCTACTACTAGTAATGCCCTTAGCTACTAGTAGCTTCTTGTTGCTGGAAGTCTGGGGGCGACGCTTGACTTTGACAGCACTCACTCATGCCCAAAGAGTTTTGGTGCCCAAAACCGCGGAGGTGAAACTGCTGCCCACGGCTGCTTTGGAGCAGGTGCAGCCCTGAGCTGTGGAGAACTGCGGCAGGTAAAGCCTAGGTACCAAAGGGGAGAGCGATGGCCCGCAGGTATTTGCTCTGCACAAAGGACATGGAATGACATGGATAGGGCCTAGGGCCTGGGGAAGACAATGAATTGTATATTTTTGTATGTTCATAGAATTGACAGAGACCGCAGTCAAAGGGAAATCAAAGATTGCGGTAGCCAGGTGGGAGGCCAATTTGGAGGGTTAGATTCCTCCACCTTCCTGCGAGCAGAAGCCGCCATGAATGAGGAGGCAAGCGGACTGCTTTGTGAAGGTTTGGTTGTTTGTGTGATTTTCTTTGAGATAATTGTTTCCCTCTAGGATATGTGCTGTTTCCCTTGGTGTTCATGACATGCTTGCAATATCTTCGGATTGAAGTCCCGCTTCGAGTTTGGCATCGACGAACAAAACAACCACGTGGCCGGTCGGTGGCCACGGGGCAGGTGGCCACGCTGGTTTTCAAAGCCTTCGAGCAGCTTGGTGAGAAGGTGAAATGATGTGTGGAACAGAATGCACCACTGCTTCAAGCGATTTGAAAGGGATGAGGATGTTGGTCGGAGATTTGATGATGGAGGATGATGCTGGCAGCGATGATGCGGGTTTATGATTGTGGGCAAGGCATGGCAAGTTGCCACCATGTTTAGACACGGGCTTCATGCGAAGTGCTTTGTTCTTTTGCGGATTTCGTAGATTTACTGGAAGTTCTGTGCAGGCTGGCTTCAATCAGCTCACCCAGTGTTTCAGTAGGTGTTTTTTCTAAACAAGACTTCTTTGAGGTTTGTCACAAGAACTCAAACTCAATGTCTCTTTGGCCACCACTTGTTTCTGTTCCTGAGAATCTGCAAGAGACAGCCCAGCGGTGGCCCAGGCACTTCCGCAAAGAATTTCACCTGAAAGGGGTGCTCCAGAGCAACAGGCACTGAGAAAGGGGCGCGCTGGAGAAGCATCATGAAGCATAGGCTATCACATTGGACGGAGGATCCGAGGCTCATCGAGGCTCACTGTGTTTCAAGTTGTAGTTTGTTTGCATCAATGATCGCATCCACTAAATATGAAAGGTATTTAATCGCCAACTTTGGGTTCTCTATTCTTGTGTCATGTCCAGTTTTCTGTTTTTTCGACCGCTAGCCTTGTGGCTTTGGGCTTGGAGGCCACGCTCTTAGTTGGAGGACTTGCTACTAGTAGCTCCTGGTATTACTACTAGCAACAAGAAGCTACTACCAGTATCACCGGAAGTCGTGGCTCAGTGATGTGAGCATCCCCACCATGGCTGCAGAACTCCGGTTTCGTGGTTTCGCACCCGATGTAAAACCGGCGAGCGGATCGGGTTTGGCTGCATGACATTGATTTCCTTGCCACGCCCACATATTAAAAACTGCAAATAAAGTTAGAAGACTTATGTCCGTGGTGGATCCAACAGTTAATAAATTGAGATTTTGTCAAAGTAGCCAAGAGCTCATGTTCATGACCAGGGTGCTTTTATTGCCTCAAAACAAACAAACTCGTACAGTATTTTTCTTGATGGCTGGATGTCGTTTCAGTTTATGTTCATGAACACCAAGAACAAGTGTCGCATGGCGACCCGACAGTGTCGGCGGTCGTGCCAGGTTTAGTGTCACAGATGTGCGAGCGGTGGAGAGCTCCGAACAAGGCTTTGCCGTGGGGACGCCCAGCAATGCCATGAGATACAAGGCGCTGTGAAACCATGTGAAACCCATATACAATTATTGATGAGATGACTTATGTAATTGCTCATGTTGGCTACAAGTCCGTAATTGACCTTGGAAGCTTCATCAGGTTTGGATCTCCATCCGACAATTGAATCAATGGAAGAAGGTGCTGCCGACGAAAACGCCGACCGACGGGGGGTGGCGCGGATGGTCCGGACGATCTGGGCGATCACGCCCGGAAGTGCAGGAGAATCATGTGCCGCGGTGTTTGAGTGACGTGTCAGGAACGTGGAAGACCATTCATGTCATTCACTGAAGACTTTGGCATCTCAGGTTTGGCTGAATTTCTGAACGCATGCAGGTGGTGGGCGACACAAGCTCCACAGCATCACTGCCGGGCGCTCAGAGCACACACTTCAAAGAAACTGGGGGGTCTTAAAGTAGCCATGTAGATGGCATTTTGGGGTCCACGTACCTCAGTTGATGGATATTTACTGTTGTGTATAGATAAACATTCCATAAGAGACCCCAGAAAGTTTGACTGACAAGATCCGACAAGCCTGGTTGGTTTTGGATGACCCTCTTCGGTCTCGCCTTTTGATGATTTTCAGTGGGCCATGTCCCAAATCCTTCTTCGACCGAGGAGACAACTTTGGCGATGCTTTGTGCAAGAGGCCATTCTAGAGGAATCCTCTTTTGGGAATTGACTTGGTTGATGATGAGTTGCAAACGAGAGGCTAGGCTGGTGGAATTGAGTTTGCGCTGGAGAAAGCTCCTGGTCGGCTTCAAAAAAACATCACAAGCTTTAAGATGTCAGGAATGGTCAATCTGACTCTTGGAGGATGAGGGGAAATGAATGAACACGATATATGATATATGTTCGATTCCAAACTTGAACTTCACCAGGTGCATGAGTACCGCTTCGGGATTTCGTCATGGGCTCAGGGTATGCAGCGGTAAGGCAGAATGACTTCGCATGGTGAGCCTTCTGGGATATGTTCAGAACTTCACACCATGGATAAAGCAAGTGACGGATGGAGTGGGTGATTCATTCATTCATTCATTCATTCATTCATGCAGTGTGTAATTAATCCTGAACCCTCCTTCACTAAAAAGAAACACATTTCAGAATGTGCTCATTCAAGCAAAAGGCGCTACAATCACAAACAAAATGAAAGGAGTCCTTTCATTTCCAACCTATTTTGGTGTGGTTCGCCACCTTTCAAATCTCGCACATTTTGAGAAAAGGTTTCTACATGTTTCTACCTTTTGACCCAAGACAACTTGAGTCTTCAGCATTACAAAAAAGAACGCTCAACCCCCTTCAAAAACCCAAGAAGCACACATTTCATCAAAAGAGCTCAAATGTCCAAAAGGTGTGCAAACCAAGTAGTGGTATAAATGACTGTTCGGGATTGATTGATTCATGCGTTCGTTCATTGATTCGATTGTTTGTTAGCTTGTTACTCTTTCCTGTCCGGTCGATCGCCGATCCCTTAGGCCAGAGGGCGGCGCGGCAGATGCACCTGAGGCACGTTGATCATTTGGGGATGGGTCGTTCAAGCTGGTCCACCCTGGTCCATCCTGGTCCATTTGCCACGCGAAGAATGGCCGGCACGGTAGGTCAACCAAGAGAAGTATCCTGGTGCCATGACCCACAGCATCCCACAACCATATCTACGGATCAACCGTTGTTTCTAGAGATCATATCTACAGGTCACACGCAGGTTGGTTTTCATCTTCGAGGTGGATTGGAGAGTCTTGGAGGTGAAGAGGGAAGGGTTTTTCGACGACGGTGTGCTGCGCATCTCATCGGCCAGGCATCCGATGATGAGGTGGCGGTAGAAGCATCGAGGCTGGAAGTGCCATCTGATGTGAAAGAGGCTGGATTCGGAGAAGCTTTAAAATTGGATGGTTTCAGATCGTTCTCAAAATGGTGTGATCTCAGTGTTGGGTATGGTTTCAGAATGTTTCAGATTCTTTTGCATTCGGTGTTCATCAGTGTCTTCAACAAAAAACTACTGTATAACTTTGGATGCACTCAAGGGTGAATACCACTGCGTTCGAGTCGCACATTTGTCCTACGGCTTTGCTCCATTGAACACTCAAAGACTACGTCTAGTGCTGCACAGGTGACATGCTTGGGTTCGAAATGGAAACTTTCAACTCTTTCGAGCCGAGCGAGTGATGCCAGGCGACGACTCCAAGAGTTAAGCCGTTGACACTTTTGGGAGGCTGGGCATGGCTGGAACGATGGTCCATTTCCAGCCATGGCATGCTGGTATCATGCGTCACATCTCACATCTACTCGGCAATCCCCATTGGGGTTGAAAGAGGTATCAGGTATCTATGTTTGCTTCGTTTTGGGTGTGGATCATTTGGGGGGGGACCTATTTTGGCCGCCTTGAGCAGCGATTTTTGTTTGGAGAACAACCAATTAGTCTATACTTCCCATTGGAACAAGCACCGGAACCCAGCCAAGGCATACCAGAAATCGTCCGGAAGGCTCTACAGCCTTTTTCGGAACGTGGACCCCGTGCGGAGTAGCCTCCGCCAGGCCTGCTGTGTCGGCACCAACTCCTCAGTCGGCCTCGAGCGGCCGCACTGGTGAGCCGCAGCCAGCTGGAGGAGCTTCTGGAGGTCGGCTCGGCTCAGACATCGTCTTGTGGGGATGGTGGGAGCGACGGCTATAGCCCTGCCTGGTAGCCCTTTCTTTTTCGGGCATGTCTCGGAGAGAGATCATTGTATGCGGAAGAGGGAGGATTGTGGATGTGAAGTTTCTTTGATTGATTCATGTATTGAAAGTATGGAAGATGGTCAATGATCAGTCACCGACTTGAGTTTGCTTGCCAATCTTGCCGGCTCAGAACAAGTCAATCCTAAGAAGTCCTCGCAAGAGGTTGTGTGTTTAAGCTTTTGAAAGAAATTCGATCAGAGAAAAAGCCATGCAGATCTTCGTGAAGACCCTGACTGGCAAGACTATCACCCTGGATGTGGAGGCCAGTGACACCATCGACAATGTCAAGGCCAAGATTCAGGACAAGGAGGGAATCCCTCCTGATCAGCAACGTCTGAT